CGATAACCGACTTAATCTTTGAATGAATTTAGAACAGTTAAAGCGAGGTTTCGAAACAGTCGCGCACAAAAATTTGGTGGGACTGACTTATGTGGCCCCCAAAAAGAGGACTTGGAAATAAGTACGTCCCACCCAAAGAGTAAAGGCAGGACTGAATAGTATCGTGTCCTTATCCCAACAATAACCGCTGTCTTAAGCTAGACCCCAACCTTACCCTAAACATTAACGTTGTAGTTAACACTAACGTTTTTTAAACCTAAACTTGATCCTGAATTACCTTACCGCTAACTATAAATATAGCCTTGAACTTCATCATTGACATAATCCTTACCTTAAACCTAACCCTAATTTCACTGGACGTTGTCTTGAAGCTACTTGTATTGTTGGCGGTTCGTGTTCTTATGTCCTGTTAAGGGGGCCAGCTAAGTCGGTGTTACCCCATTTTTGGACGGCTAATAGATGGGTCACGCAGAGCGAAAAAGGTGAGACTAGATTAAAGACACTGGCATGGTTTATGATGTTTAAGTATTATCTCAGCGTCCTTCTGCTTGCTTTTTATTACTACAACAACTTCATCCGGTGTACATATTAAGACCTTGACAAGCACATCTCGACGCCCATCCTGGCTGTCTGAAGGACACCTTTTTGTTGAGATTTCATCCAGATTGTCCTTGGCACCCGAGCGACAGCGTTTAGGTCACTGGCATTACGATAGGGTTCATTCGCGTCCTCGGGTGATGCGACCTTTGTTTTTATCGATCGGTCCTTCCTGCTCATGCTGACTTTGCACCGGACCCACGAGGCTGAAAACCCGCGAAGCTCTTAGTAGTAAAGTGCATACTGGGTAACCTCGCCTGACGAGAGGACGGCGTATCATGAACGCACTTTCCGCTCGACGCTCGTGCTGACGCACTGTGGTTTAAGACACCTGAGGCTCCCTGTGTGAGGTCACGTTGATGCTTTGCTAACTCCAGTTGTCAATTCGTCTCTGTTTCACTCCTTCCATCTCTCGCCCACCTGCGTAATTTAAGCTGCATGTTGAACATCAGTGTTAACAATAGCCCCTTTTCACTACCACCAAATATGTTGGGGCAGTGACTTAGCCTTCATTGTAGAGCGAGTTACGATTTAAGGAATTTCCCCGTCGTAAATATCTATTAAAATTCTGGAATAAAAAAAGTTATTTTTGTACCCAGATAGTCAAGATGGCTACTACTTGCACAACTGACGCTTCCTGTCTTCATTGGCAGAATGCCCCAGCGCTAACAGGAAATTGCGTCGTTTTGTTTGTTTGTTCAATATCCTACCTACTGCATTGTATGCATTGGTATAACTTACTTCTGGTCAAAAGGTCTGTAAGCATGTGCTACGCCAGTATCAGCAAACCATGGCCATCGCAGCCGGATATGCGCTGGCAGTTCCCTGACGGTAGATGCGCTTGCGCTACCGCTGGGCATACAGGTGGTGGGCATGGCTGCCCAGTCGTCATCGTCTTTCTGACGTCTGTTGTTTCTGTTGCTGTTGTTGTTGGTCAAAAACCTGGTCATTTGCTGTGTGGACCGGGGGTGTGAGGTGGAACGCCAAGATGCAGGCTCGACCGCGCCATCCACCTGCGCTCTCACGCCTCAGGTCACCTTGACTCTGTTGTGACTCCGGGTCCAAGTGGAGAGTAGGGAACAGAGACTGTGGTAAATGCTGCGTAAGTCTACTATCGTTATAAACTAACTCACGCGCAAGTCCCCATGCCCGTTGCACTTTGGAGTTTAGCACACGGTGTACATCGTCAAAATGGGCGGTCGAACTGTTGTCATGACTTATTGTTGAAGACTCTGTGTCCACTAGCACAGGCAGGTACTGGCCTACCTAAATTGGAATAGCGGATACATGCTCGAACACATCTGGCCGTCGAGGTCCTGCTTCCCGTGGTTGAAGAACAGCAGTAAAAGTAAACAAGGGAACTAATGCATTTGTTCGAGCATTGCAGTCTTCTGGGGGTCCGGTTGGCAAATCCTCACTCTAACCCACTTCTCTTCTTAGTCCAGCGCACTTCATTTGGAGTACATGTAAGAATTTGAAAACCAGACCACGTTAGGACGTCCATCGCTTAAAATTGTGCTCAAAAGTATCCCGTTGGAAGGCAAAGTGAAACCACCGCCTCCAATAAATTTTAGTTTCACTGTAGATGGTCCAACGTGGTTTAATGAAACTCATTTTCCACATAAATACGTCGAAATTGCTAAAACTGAACATTTACGCCTGAAAGCGAAGGCCCAAAGCCCCAAAGGCACAACGGAACGAACATGTTCCGTAACCTACCTGATCGGTGAGCGCCCTCTGTCATAATTGATATTCCCGATCACAACCGACAGGACAACGGGCCCGTGGTTCAATGGTAGAGTGTCAAATTCCATGACCAAAGATCCCGGGTTTGAATCTCAAGTGATCCACACTTGGGGTTGGGTATGACTGGCTGATGACGGCTAATAAGCCAGAAATGGCCATTCCGGCCTCCCTTGTCTTTGCCGGCTCCATCTTATATATATATATATGAATAAATTTTGGTTTTTCCATCGTTTAAATGAAGAGACAGTCATTGCACCTTCAAAATTGGATGCAGTTTATTGAGACAAAACTTTCAGAGCATGGCCTGGGGATCTTACTCTACTGAAAATTACAGAATATGCCATGCTTGTCTTTGATTTTTTCATTTTTTGCACTAGTTGCGTTGAAGAGATAAGGTCATTTACATTGTGATAACCTAACCCTCCGAGTTAAAAGTGGGACATTACCAATTCTGCGGAATTATTGGCACTCGAATGGGTAAAATTAAAAGAACATTTTTTGACTTCATAACACTATGCCAACTATCTTACATGAAAGACCCTATATTTTAACCCAGAGAAGTTTTACACCAAGGACTTAGATCAATGTGTTGACAACCTATCACGTTCGCAAGGAGGCATAGAAGTGATCGGTGAAGGTCGCTCACCTATGGTTGTAGGCATCGATTACTGCACTAAACTGACGGCCAAGCGTTCAGATGATCAATAATTCGACTCCGTCTTTCAGGGATGGCCTTTCAACTATGTATATACAGTGTGTGACCGATCTCATGAAATGTTGTCCAAAATTCTAAAATGTGTTTTCGATTAGGTAGGATTACTTAGGTGGGGTTGTAATATTGATTATATTGTCGCACAAGCCAATAATATTTCGCACTCGGCAGGATGTCGGCTTTTGAATGCACTTCTTTTCGACTATCTACAGAAACCACATTCCGTAAAAGATGATCACTTAAGTAAAATTTATTTTTACATTGACTTTCGATGGTTTTATAAATTCAAATATATTTTATAGAAAACATGCATAAAATGTGCTTAATTTGGCATGTTTGGTAGAAAATCACATTATCTTCACATTTTTACCCGATGAAAGTGTATATTTAAGGTTTAAAAAGTTTTCTCAATTCCCGTATAATTTTGAGCCAGATCAGCCGTTACATTAGCGCTTAGTGATTCAGTCTACAAGACGCATGCTTTCGCGTAAGAAAAATCATGTATTTCTCTATGCCTTTAAGAAGATACCGTATAGAGTTCATGAAATTTTGCAATGGATGCGGACTATGTTGTACATTTAATGAGGAGCATTGGTAGACGTGCATGTTCGATGCTGTATGTATTGACATCACACGGTCTTAAAAATGTTTTAATTATAAACTTTTAAAAAACGAAAGATAACCTTTCATCGGGCATAAAATGCGAAGAAGATGTGATTTTCTACCAAACGAACTAAAGAAAGCACATTTTTTGCACATGTTTTCTATAAAATATGTTCAAATTTTTATGACAATCGAAAACCAATATGAATTATGCATGCGTTTTAAGTAGACATTTTTTACCAAATGTGTTTTTACAGGAGGTCGAGAAGAAATGAATTCAAAGCTGACATCCTGGCAAGTCTGAGGGCCTATAGGATTATGCCTTATGCTAATCAGTTTTACTACCTAAGTAATCCTACCTAATTAAAAACGCACTTCAAAATTTCGGCCAACATTTCGTAAGATCGGTCAAGCCCTTCTCTCTCTCATTTCCTATGGATTATTGCAAAAAATGTTCGAATGTTTTTTCCAGGCGAGTAGACGGCGAGACCCTATAAACAGCGAATTTATCGGCTCCAAGTTTCAAAAGATCGCAAACGTCTGTCTCCGGAAAGGATTTAATGTCGGGCTTCACAGTATTCAGTGGAGTTTGCCACGGTGACTGGGATAGTCATTTCTGCGCTCTTCGCCATCAGCAACCAACCAGGCGACTTTAGATTTGAACAGTGGGTATTTTTCTATTGTTGGCTTGCCTGCATGGCAACCGGCATCTGGAGGCTGCCTATGGTGCTGACGGAGAACAATGTTGCAAACAGTCGGAAAATGGCCTGATAGTGCAGATGGATATAGGTCGTTTAGCGTTCTGAATTCTGATCAAAGACTGCACATCTGTACTTTTACAGGATCCTGCCATACGGTGTCGCATTACCTTGGCAACTGCGAGCGTAAGTCTAACAACCTCGTCAAACTACATGGCCACGCCTTCTCTCAAAGGTGCCAGACGCCGCTGATGATGCCTGCCTTAAGATCGTATCTGCAGTCTTCACGCGGATCGATGGGCGCTGTTTTTTTTTCTTTCAGGCGCCTGTAACCCCCTGCTGCTCATCTAGACATTAACTCGCCAAGGCTTTCGGCACACCCACCTCTGAAGAAAATGCCAAAAAATATCGTCTCAAGCAGTATCCCATACTAACATTTGAGTTGGGATTGGCATTATCGTCACCGTCCATGACACTTCGACTGTGGTCAAACATGACGCCCACCGCGGACCACACGGAATAAAAACAGCATTTATAACACACACGCACACATACATGAGAGTTCAACAGCCGATTTCGACGATGTCCACCGTATGTCCCACAGCAGGTGGCGGGAGCAGGGACGGGGAATTGCGCTGCATCTACTACACTCTCTCCTCCTCCTCCTCCTCCTCCTCCACACCTGAGCCCGGTGTCAAGACAGTGTCAAGAAGACCGACGATGAGGGCGGCCGCAGGTGGATGGCCCGATTGAGCCCGCGTCTTGGCGTTCAACCACCCCCCCGTCCCACACAACAAATAACCAGGATTTTGACCAACACAATAGAGATTCGGGGCTGGCGCGGCCGAAGCCTCACCTGGGGGTGCCACCATCGCCGGCTTGGATCCCACACAGTGGGAGCGCCATAAAGACCATATTAAGAAGAAGCCACTGCAGCCTTACTCTCAGACCTTTAGCCGATCAATCCACACAAACGCACACCACTGGGCCTACTGCGAGATTCAAAACACGACTTTTAGCTCAACATGATACCTTCAAGCGCTTCAGATTGTTTATAGTGAGGAAAGTGCGCTGAGTCGCCGACCCCACTCTCCCTCCCCATTCCCACATCCCAGCAACTGTCCGAGCCGGTCGGCAGACTGTAGCGGGGAATGGGACACACACACACACAAACACACACAAGGCAGTCTTGCGCAGCATTTAAAGCACTCTCTCCACCCTCAATAACTTTGGTTATGCCCGTCAGCATGCGCTACACGCTATTTCGCCCTCACTACATGTACCAAGCAACTGCAGGAGGGTTTTCGATCCCATGTGCATGGGAACACCCTAAAGACCACACTGGGGAGGAGCAACTGCCCCCTGACTCCCGGTCCTTACAAGAACCGACCATCAACTGGGAGTCGTCCCGCCTATTACCCTTGGCGCATCGTGAAGGCTTCAAATGTGTCAGAATTATTTGAATGGGCAATACACTGATACCCCGGGAGGGAGCGTTGGTGGATTCCCCCAGTGTCAGCGCTATGTTATTTTCCCACTCAAATGCTGCAGTCGACTGTCTGGGCCTGACAGTCGACTGATTTTGTACTTGGATGCGGTGGCCTGCTTGGCGTGAAAGCCCTGCACCAAAGGCATCCCACCCACACACCTAAGGTGCTTCGCATGGCATCGGTCTGGAAATTGCATCGTGGCATCCTTGTAGTTGAGGATATGTAAACGTCGACGCAACGTATCCACGTGTCTACGTCCAGCACTAATGCTAGCCGACCACTACGCCGGCGGCCACGTTCTTAGCTCATTGCTCACAAACGATAACTCCAGAGTCGCCCCATAAAATCAAAGTCACCTTCCCCTGCTTCAAACTTACCTACAGTTGGTCTTATCACGACACCTCGAGATACTGTAAGCGACCCAACCGTGCTGAGTGTTAAAACGCTCTTACTCGGCCTCCAATAAAAACACAAGACAGTGGCCTAAGGGGAAGGTAAGGGACTATTTAGGACGCTGGGAAGATGGTTAGAGTGCAGACAGGATAGGAAACACGGGGCGGTCCTTTGGCGGGAACTGGTTGACCTGGAGACGGTCCTTGGGTAATCCGGCAAGCGAGTACGTTGATGACGTGTGTAGACTTCGGGGAGGCGTTCTCCAGTCCGACGTACCCGGACATCAATTGTCCCCGGTATATATCGGCCTCCAGTTGATGCGGGTAGGTTTAATGAATAAACCGATCGGCAGGAATAAGCATGATAATTAAAGGTAGGATAGCACAGAGGAGTAGCGACTAGGCTGATGGAGGCCGCAAACAACCATATATGGCAGTCTCCCAATGACAAATAGGCTTTAAGTTGAAAGGTGGCTAGCGCGGCGCCGCGGTGCCGGTAAATGACCACCAACACGCTGGGAATCTTACAAAACACAGCCAAAATCAAAAAAACTGTGACTGCACCCCTCTAAGTCTACCTTTTCGGAAGACCACACAACCGAAACGTAGGAGCCCTGGGACTCACTCTCGCAGGCTCACATAATCGGTCTACCCTGAGCACTAGCCCTCTCGGGCATGACGAATTAACATGAGCACACGTCACGGCCCGCGGCTTCTAATGTCACCAAAGTCCAAACAAAACCCATGGGGGATCTGGAATGCATAGGATGAAAAAAGTTTAATTCTCAGGCAGCAATTGTTACTGGCGAGGCCAAAGGGCAGAGTGACAGCGTTAAGTCATGCCTCAGAGAGAGAGACCTATGGTGTCAGCAGTTTGTATATATTTACGGCAGCGACCTCAAGTGGGGGCATGGCTGCTGCGACTGTCTGAATGCACATGACTCCAAACTGCGGGGTTAGCTCGCTCGTAATCACTGGCAGGGCAGGGGAATGACCTCGACACGCCCGAGCGTTGAACAGAGACACCTGACCTCGTCATGATGACTGTCGACTGTAGGCTTGCCGTCGACCTAAAACTAAAGAGGACGGCAATCCTGTCATTGTTCTGATGCCAGAGGGCGGACTAACCAATCAGCACCAAGGGCTGAATGAATATTCAGAAGAATTTATCATAAATGATCTAAAACAAGCAGCAATGAGACGAAAACCCACAATAGGCAGCGTCAAAGTCCATTTCGTTTCGACCTGAGGCGAGTGACACTATGTGAGAATCAAAAGACCTTATAATATGCTAATTCCACAAAAACAACTGTGTTTACAGCCATATTCTGTCGTAGTCTACGGACAACCATACAGTGGATGTGATAACGCATGAAATTTTATCCGTAGTTCTGAAATGCGTTTTAGACTCGAAAAGATAACTTAGGTGGAGTTGGAATATTAATCACCATGGCGCATAATCTCATGATAATTCAAATAGTTCAGGTTGCGAGCTACTGAACGAACTTCTTTCTGTCGCCTGCAAAAATTACGCTCAGTAGAGATGGACTACATGGATCTTTCCCATTGATTATTGATGCTCTTATAGAGTAAAGTATATTTCATGGAAAGCATGTACAAAAATATTTATTATTTAACTCATTTGGTAGACAATTATGTTTTAGACAAATTTTATACTCGAAAGAATGATATAGTTTGGTTTTAAAAATCGGTTCTAATCCCCAAATAATTCAGAACCCGACCTGGATTACCACCTGCACTCAGGGTTTCCAAACCACAAGCTACATATTTTCTGTGCACGGAAAATCGTATTTTTCTATATTTTACTAACAGGAGACCACATGGGGTTCAAGAGATTTAGCAGTGGATTTGAGTCATATTGCAAACTTTAAAAGTCAGGTTAGTAAATGCAGAAAAATGGTGTTTATGGACGGGTGTTCTACGAGCTTACAAAATCTTGCAATTAGATATTCTTTTAAAACCGAATTATACCCTTCCTTCAAGTAAAAGTTTGTAGAGAACGTAATTCTCTAACAAATGGGTAAACGAATGATTATATCTATGCATGTTTTCCATGAAATACAGTGAGTGACCGATCTCATGAAATGTTGGCTGAAATTCTGAAATGTGTTTTCGATTAGGAAGGATTACTTGGTCACGGTTGTAATACTGATTATCTTATGGCATACTCTTATAACATTTCGGACTCGGCAGGGTTTCGGCTTTTAAATGCACTTCTTTTCAGTTTCCTGTAGAAAGCATGCTCGGTAAAACATGACTACTTAAGTAGCATGCATTTTCCCAATAATTTTCGATGGTCTTACAAATTTAAATATATTTTATAAAAACCATAAACAAAAATATGCTTTCTTTTAGTCACTCAATAGAGAATCACGTATTCTTTATATTTTATACTTACGGAACGAGTATAATTAGGTTTTAAAAAGTTGCCTAATTGACGAATAATTTTGAGCCTGATCTTTCTTTGCATCAGAGCTTAGTGATTTCACTCGACAAGGTGCATGCGTTCCGCGTAAAGAAAATCCCATATTTTTCTATGTCATTACAGAGATATCATACAGGGTCCATAAAATTTTGCAATGGATGCTGACCATGTTGTACATTTCATGAGGAGCAGTGGTAAACGTCCAGGTACGATGCTATGTGAATGGACATATCGAGGTCTTAAAAAGTGTCATAATTAGAAACTTTTTTAAAACCTAATTGTACTCGTTCCGTAAGTATGAAATATAAAGAAGACGTGATTCTCTATTGATTGAGTAGAAGAAAGCATATTTTTGTTTATGGTTTTCATAAAATATATTTAAATTTGTAAGACCATCGAAAATTATTGGGAAAATGCATGCTACTTAAGTAGTCATGTTTTACCGAGCATGCTTTCTACAGGAAACTGAAAAGAAGTGCATTTAAAAGCCGAAACCCTGCCGAGTCCGAAATGTTATAAGAGTATGCCTTAAGATAATCAGTATTACAACCGCGACCAAGTAATCCTTCCTAATCGAAAACGCATTTTAGAATTTCAGCCAACATTGCATGAGATCGGTCACTCACTGTATATTTGAATTTATAAAGGCCTCGAAAATCAATGAGAAAGATAAGCGTTACACACGTAGTCCATCTTTACAGAGTGTAGTGCTTGCAGACGGCTGAAAAGAAGTTTGCTTAAAAGACGGCATTCTAAAGTAACTGAATTATCTTGGGATTATGCTACATGGTGATTGGTATTACAGCCATACATAGGTAATCTTTTAAAGTCAGAGACGTATTTCGGAATTTTAGCAAGCTTTTAATAAGTTAACACAGCTACTATATGTACGTATAAGTTCAGCTGTTCGAACTGTGGCGTAAGTTACATAGGCAGTCTCTTGTTGTGTTAACAGGCGGGCCACTGGGCGTGCCAGATGCTTCTTAGAACCGTCAAAAATTACCACAAGTGAGAACAACTTTGGACTTGTTCAGCAAAAGCTCCACGATGGAAAATTAGTTGAGACTAGGAGGAATTACGAAGCTGTCATATCCTGTCTCAGAGAAGGCCTGTTGCGGCACCGCATGCAATAAGCGTAACAGTGCCTTCCCAACTTAAAATAATGTTTCAAGACAAAAGTACTGAAATCTTCTCCTCAAGCTTTGTTCTGCGGGGCTGCCTTGCCTCCAACTAACCGGAACACCCTGATAGGGCGTAACGCCTTGTGCATGAACCTGATCTGCCCCGACACCACCAAATACAACCCGTCGCCATGCCGAACGCGCGCCTACAAATCATGCAGACCACCAGTTTGCCTTTAAACTCACAACTACCAAATTTTCTCACGTCTCATAAGGCCTCCCTCCCACAGCTATTATAACTGACGAAACTTATGATTCGAGTGTTTGATTCTTTAGTTAACTTCTGAACTTGCGATTTCAGCATTCAAAAAAATTCAAGAAATACCTCAAAAAAGAATCTGAGTAATCGAAAAAACTTTTCCG